ATTTACTGAGATAGAGTTTATTAATAGAAAGACTTTGAAGAGAATAACAGAAACCCCAGTTTGAACATTTATCAGATACCTAAATGTATATAGTCAGTCAGACATCTAAGTCTAGACACTGAAATGTATATACAAAAATATACAAGTCTGGAATTGAGGGAGCCAATCATCAACATACCGTTGGCATTTAAAACCAAAAGCTAGATGAGATTACCATAGAAGAAACACAGATAGGAAAAAGAAGTTCAAGGCTGAGCCAGGAGGCACCCTGAAGTATAGTTCAAGGAGGAGAGGAAAAGCAAGCAGAGCAAATTGAGAAAGAGCAGTCAGTGAGGAAAGAAGAATATGTGAGTTCTGAAGTCTAAGCAAAGAGAGTACGTCAGAATAGATAGTAACCAATCATGTCAAATGCTGCAGCTAGGTCAAGAGGAAGTCTAGGGATTGACTAATGGATGTAACAGTATAGAGGTAATTAGAGACCTTGATCATAGCAATGGGGTGGGGGTGGGAATTAAAATCTAATTGGAATGGGTACAAGGAAGAACTGCAGGAAAGGAAGAATATAGAAACCGCTTTCAAGAGTAAGGGCAACAGAAAATGCTGTAGGAATCAGAGCAGTAGCTGAGGAGGAAATAGGGTCAAAAGAAGATTGGTGTTTTTGTGGGTTTATTTTTTAATGGCAGTAATAATAGATTTTACTCTAATGGAAACAAGCAGAAAAAGAAAGAATTCAGGAGCGAGAGGGAAGAATACCTCGAATGATGTTTCTGAATGAACAACATATACATGCACAGGAACTAGAGCTTTAGGCACAAATGATGACAGGCGGGTAGGTGTGGTTGTGGAAGTCCAGGGAAGTTCTCTTTTGATTGCTTCTGTTTGCTTATCAGAAATAAGCAGCAAGGTCATTAGCTGAGAGAGGACGGAGGAGTACTGGAGGTCTGAGGGGGGAAGAGAAGGCTCCAATAGTTGAAATGAGAGCAGACATTCATTCACTAGGGAGGAACAGCGTGACTTCCAGGCAGTGCTAATGCTCCAGCTGAGGTTTGTGATCATAAACGTAAAGTAAAACCAGTCAGCACAGCTGTCTTTCCCTAGTTGCATTTTGTCATGCAGGTGCAGGCACTGCAGCAGCAGAAAGTTGGTTTTAACTAAGGCTGTCGTTTAGCCCCGAAGAAGCAAGAGAGGAGAGGGAGGTTAAGGTTTATGCAAGTGACTACAGAATTGAGCTGGGAAGAGAGGGAAATGAAGACATGAGTATAGCGAGGGGCAATGAAGCAGTGCTGGTATCACTGGGGTCCAAGGATTAGTGTAATCTGGGCACTAGGCAAGAGGAAAGGGCAGAGAGTGGAAACAATCCTTAGAGGCAGAATTTAGAAATTGCTCACTGTTATTCATCACTTCCTTCTCATTCATTCCTTAGCCACAGATCTGCTTTCCCCACCACCAGCCATTTCATTTCACTAATACTATGCTACCGAAAACCACCGATAATCAATCAATCTCTCACATATTGCCTCACTTGACCTTCCTCTGGTCACTGGGCAGACAGTGAGCATCTCAAAGGCAGAAACTATGTCTTTTTGATCCAAATATTCTAGGCAATACCTAGTCCAGTGCTCTGCAAGAATGTAGCTATTAAAAAAAAATTCCTGCTCTTCCCCAAAGCGGCCATAGGTGACTTCTGAAAATGGTTCACTATTCACTAGACCCAGAAAACCCCACAAAATCAATCACACCAATCAAGAGGCTCAAATCTCCGCATTCACTTTAAGAACACTCGTGAAACTGCCCAGGCCATCATTCAAAAAGCCACCAAGTATCTGAAGAATGTCACTTTATTTAATTTTTTTATTTTTTATTTTTTATTTTTTATTTTTTTATTTTTTATTTATTTATTTGTTTGTTTGTTTGTTTGTTTGTACCCTTGACTGGAATTGAACCTGGGACCCTTCAGTTCGCAGGCCGACGCTCAATCCACTGAGCCAAACCGGTTAGGGCAAAACGTCACTTTAAAGAAGCAGTGTGTGCCATTCCGTCGTTACAATGGTGGAGTTAGTAGGTGTGCCCAGGCAAAACAATGGGGCTGGACACAGGGTCGTTGGCCCAAAAAGAGTGCTGAATTTTTGCTGCACGTGCTTAAAAATGCCGAGAGCAATGCTGAACTTAAGGGTTTAGATGTAGACTCTCTGGTCATTGAGCACATTCGGGTGAACAAAGCTCCCAAGATGTGGCATAGAACCTACAGAGCTCATGGGCGGATTAACCCATGCGTGAGCTCTCCCTGCCACATTGAGATGATCCTCACTGAAAAGGAGCAGACTGTTCCTAAACCAGTAGAGGAGGCTGCACAGAAGAAAAAGATACCTCAGAAGAAACTGAAGGCACAAAAACTTATGGCCCGGGAGTAAATTCAGCATAAAATAAACCTAAATAAAAGTAAAAGAAAAAATTCCTTCGCCAAAACATCAAGGTCTGATACTGAGAGAATCAGGAAGTCACAAGAGAATTCAACTGTATGCAGTACCTACAGGGAACTCTCTCTATATATATATGTAAAATGGCAATTTTGTCTACATCTCAAAGTTAAGCTACAGTTTTTATTTTCAGAAAATTTTGATTTTAGAAGATTTTCTGAAATATTTTTTCAAATTCCAATTTTAATTTTAGCTCAATTATATGAAACTCAGCCTCATCAAACAAGGAACAAATAGGAACAAACCCAATCAGTAGCCTCCTTCTCATTCTACAATTCACTTTTTGGTACAACACACGCACACACACACACACACACACACACACACACACACACACACACACCAGAGAACGGAAGAGAGATTCTGACCAACTTTAAAACATCCAGTCCCTGGTCTCAGCTATGGAACCAGTTCCCTGTCCAAATATAATGAAGAAAGGGGAAACTCCCGAGCTACCAAAAAAAGTGACGGTTTACTATATCTAAGACTTCCCTAAGTCCTTAAAAAGCTAACATCTCTATTTGACTACAGCAAACTTTGTTGTTATTGGTGGGAAAGTTGTCCTGCATGAGACAGCCCTAACCGGTTTGGCTCAGTGGATAGAGTGTCGGCCTGAGATCTGAAGGGTCCCAGGTTCGATTCTGGTCAAGGGCATATGTCTGGGTTGTGGGCTCAACCCCACTGGGGGTGTGCAGGAGGCAGCCGATCAATGATTCTCTTTCATCATTGATGTTTTTATCTCTCTCTCCCTCTCCCTTCTCTGAAATCGATGTATATATATATATATATTTTTTTTTAAACAACAAAAAAACCTCATGGGACAGTGATGTTCCAAAGAGCTACTGTTTTAGAATAGTGCTCCCTCAGCCACAGAATACATGAGAATCCCTTGGGAAACTTTTTACAAATTACCTGCCAGCCTCCTGCCCAGAGTTTGACTTGACGAATGAGGTGGGTCCTAAGCAACTGTGTTCTCTAAAGGCTCTGCATTAGGAAGCACTCCTAGAGTGAGAACTACAAATCTTTTTTTTAAAATATATTTTATTGATTTTTTACAGAGAGGAAGGAAGAGAGATAGAGAGTTAGAAACATCGATGAGAGAGAAACATCGATCAGCCGCCTCCTGCACACTTCCGACTGGGGATGTGCCCGAAACCAAGGTACATGCCCTTGACCGGAATCGAACCCGGGACCTTCCAGTCCGCAGGCCGACGCTCTATCCACTGAGCCAAACCGGCCACGGCTAGAATGCAAATCTTTACTGTTGCCTTTCCTTTATTCAAATATCTATCAGAAGTTCCAGCAATCTCCTGAAATCATTTCACCATTAGTTTAATTACTTTTTTATAGTGATATTAGAGGCCCGGTGCACAAAAATTTGTGCACTTGGGGGGGAGAGTGGGTCCCTCAGCCCGGCCTGTGCCCTCTCGCAGTCTGGGACCCCTCAGGAGATAATGACCTGCTGGCTTAGGCCCGCTCCCGGGTGGCAGAGGGCAGGCCCAATCCCTAGGTGCAGCCCCTGGTCGGGCTCAGAGCAGGGCCGATTGGGGAGTTGGGTCGCCGCCCCCTGTCATGCACAGAGCAGGGCGTATCGGGAGGTTGCGATGCCACCCCTAGTCACGCTCAGGGTAGGGCCAATTGGGTCGTTGGGGCACCGCCCCGTCACACTCAAGGCAGGGTCGATAGGGAAGTTGCAGCGCCACCCCCTGTCACGCACAGGCAGGGCCGATCAGGGGGTTTGGGCGCTGCCCCCTGTCACGCTGATCCCGGTGCCAGGAGCCTCACTGCTCCGCTGATCCCGGTGCCGGGAGGCATATTACCCTTTTACTATATAGAATAGAGGCCTGGTGCACGGGTGGGGGCTGCTGGTTTGCCCTGAAGGGTGTCCTGGATCAGGGTGGGAGTCCCCACTGGGGTGCCTGGCCAGGCTGGCTGAGGGGCTGAGGGCCGTTTTCAGGCTGGCGGGTGACTGAAGGTCCCAGCCGCTCCTTTTTTTCTTTCTTTTTTTTTTATTCTGGGCCAGCTTTAGCTCTGAGGCCTCGGCTGCTGAAAGGAGCTTTCTGGCCTTTGTTTACCTTCTGTATTTGATACAATGTTGCGGTCCAGCTGGCTGAAGCCCGGCTGAGTAAAGCAGGTTTCTGGGGTTTTGTTTAGCTTCTATATTTGCAACATAGTTGCTTAGAGTTGCAGCTGAGAGGCCGGCAAGTCAGACGGGGAACATTGGAGTCCTCTGTAACTGAAGCAAGCAACCCTCCCTGTTCCCTTCAGCTGCCTGGCTGCAGGCCGCCATCTTGGCTGGCAGTTAATTTGCATATCTCCCTGATTAGCCAATCGGAAGGGTAGCGGAGTGACACCAATTTGCATGTTTCTCTTTTATTAGTGTAGATACTTAGGGTCAAATTTTCACAATGACTGCCCCACTTCTATATAACATGGCATTCAGAATCAGGAAGGTGGTAGATTTTATTCCTCTGATAAACCCAATTCACCAGTAATGGTCAGTAAATGCAGAGCTGGTCTTACCCGGTCCACTGCTGCATTATGATATGGGAGCTCCTCTTCACTGCAGAGAAAAAAAAACAGTAAATGTCAAATAGTCGCAACAAACTTTGAAAAAATTATAAACCAATAGGTACACATGATGTACAACAATCAATTGTGATTACAAACATTACATAGCTCCCATTCCACCTAATTCCTTATAAAACAAGTAGCTATGTGTAACCACAGTGCCCCTTATCTTCACATTTCTAGACCTGCACTATCCAATAAAGTAATCGCTAGGCGCATGTGGCTATTTAATTTTAAATGTGAATTAAAATTAAATAAAATTAAAAATTCAATTACTCAGTTTCATGCTATAGTTCGCCAACCTTCATTCTCTGGCTCAAACCATGCCTATAATAAATGATTGCTTAAAAAATTAGTATATTGCCCTAACCTAGCTGTGGGCAAACTATGGCCCGCGGGCCGGATCCGGCCCGTTTGAAATGAATAAAACAAAACAAAACAAAAAAGACCGGACCCTTTTATGTAATGATGTTTACTTTGAATTTATATTAGTTCACACAAACACTCCATCCATGCTTTTGTTCCGGCCCTCCAGTCCAGTTTAAGAACCCATTGTGGCCCTCGAGTCAAAAAGTTTGCCCACCCCTGCCCTAACCAGTTTGGCTCAGTGGATAGAGCCTGCAGACTGAAGGGTCTCAGGTTCGATTCCGGTCAAGGGCATGTACCTTGGTTGCGGGCACATCCCCAGTAGGGGGTGTGCAGGAGGCAGCTGATCAATGTTTCTCTCTCATTGATGTTTCTAACTCTCTATCCCTCTCCCTTCCTCTCTGTAAAAAAATCAATAAAATATATTTTAAAAAATTAGTATACGGAAATAAAACTGCCTCCAACAAATTTATGAATTAAAAAGCAAACTTCACCTTTTATTCAGTAAATAAGAAAATCTTCATTTGTGAAAATGTTAACTTTTAACATACAATATCAGATAAATTTCACTTTTCTGAAAGTAATTTTGTGATATCACCTCTAATATAAAATATTCTGGGACTCTTATATCACTGTAAGTAACATAAAAACAATTTGCTATCTATAAACAAAGTTATGTGCTTCAAGTTGCTATCTCGGTAGAATTTATGTTTTGGCAATCATATGTACACATTCTTGCCTCAGTTTCTCTTGAGATCACATAATACCACTTTGCAGAGTGCAATGCATTCGTATTCAAGAGTCCAGTATTTCAGAGTAGCAAAGAGTTTTGCTATCCTGATGACTAGAGTCCTTAGGTGAACCATTAAGTTACAGCCATGGAACTGACAAAAAGGTGTAATAGTTGAATAGAGAGATAGTCCAAACCCTCATTTCACAGATATGGAAACTAACATTTTCACTTAGTCACACTTAGCCTCATGTAGAGATGTTCAGCATTATCTAACCCAGTAAGTTAAAATTAAGATATAACTTCTGGTTTAAAAGTGTACATATCCATTCTTCATTTACTGATAGGAAAGGACTTGTTGACACCACTGGAATGTGCTTCCTAGGTAATTAGGTCAGCAGTGACACCTTGAATGGTATTTCTGGGGTAAGTGGACTGCCCTGGGCAAGACCAACCTTTTGTACAGCTGATTTGAGCTGATCCTGACAACTGTTTACTTGAACATTCCAAACTGCAAAAGAAGTGCTACCTATGGCTGCCTATCACAGGAGAAGTTTTTTGAAGTTGCTGGGTGAACTTCTTTGGTATCCTCCTATTTACTAAACAAGACCGACAGACCTGAATCAGAACCAAGTTTTGCACTTGTCTGTGGAATGATGCTGATCATCTGCTCAGGCTACATGGCCTGTGTTGGGCAGGTCCTACAAAACTAACTGCTTTGTGAAATTCAAGATGAGACAGGACTTCGCATAGCACCCCACTCCACCTTAACCTCAAATCATGCTATTGAAACTCTGGGAGGAAGGAATGCCAGAATCTATCTATATAAAACCCTAATATGCAAATCGACCGAATAGCAGAACGATCTACGAATGACCGGTTGGCAGGGGGGAGAGGGGGTAGTGAGCAGGTGGTGCCAGGCAAGCCAAGGTGGGTGCCAGCAGGGGCACCCCGACTGCCCAGCCAGCCACCCCACAGACTGGCCCTGATTGCCGTCCAGGCCTAGGGACCCTACCGTATATATTGGGAGCAGTCTCTTAGATTTAAAAATTAAAACCTGGCAAGGCTACTCTAACACTGAAAAAAACAGGATGATGCAGCGATGACATGCATGGACTCTGGCTTGCACATTTTGTGGTCAGCCCTGATTCTGACACTTATAACTGTGTGACAAAGTCAATTACTTAATTTCTCTCTGCTTCAATTTTTCCACCCATAAGATGGGGAAAATGGTACTACTGCCTCAGAAGGATCATGTTATGTACTACTTTTTATAATCAGGGCCAAAAAAAGGACCTGCCATAAAACAGCAAGATGCCTTTCACCTGTATGAAAAGTATGTTCACTAGTGAATGCAGTGTCCTGGATTGTGAGAGGGATGTCCGACTGACAGTTTAAGCCCGTAAACCAGCAGGTAAACATTCCCCGAGGGGTCCCAGGTTGCAAGAGGGCGAGGCTGGGCTGAGGGACCGACACCTCCCCCCCCCTCCCCCCGCACAAAATTCGTGCACCGGGTCTCTAGTATACATGTAACCACAGTCAGCCTGAGACAAAATCCAGGAGTACACAAACCTGGTCTTAGATTTCCAATTAACCAAATATTTCACATAATTTCCCTGTGGCAACCCCACCAGGATCTGGTTGCCTATCCACTCCCCATATCATGATACCCAGTTACTGAACTCCTACTATCCAAACATTTTTTAATGTTCATTTTAAATTTTATTTATTTAAAAATTAAGACACAATTGACATATAACAATGTGCTCCTTTTAGGCTATAACATAAGGATTTGATGTATGTATATATACTGCAAATGATTATATTAGGTTTAGTTAACATCCATCAGCAACCATGCTTACAGATTTCTTTTCCTTATGATGAGAACTTTTAAGATCTATAATATACAATACAGTATTGTTAACTATAGTCACTATGCTGTATATTGCATCCTCAGGACTTACTTATAACTAAAAGTTTATACTTATTGAACACCTTCACCCATTATCCCCAACCCCCAGACATATGTCCTTGACCAGAAATTGAACCTGCAACCTCCTGGTGCATGGGACGATGCCCAACCAACTGAGCCACACCAGCCAGGGCCCCAACATCATTTACTGAAGAGACTACTCTTTCCCCATTGCATATTCTTGCCTCCTTTGTCATATATTAATATGTAGGTTTATTTCTGGGCACTCTATTCTGTTCAATTGATCTATGTGTCTGTTTTTATACCAATACCATAATGTTTTGATTATGATAACTTTGTAATACAGTTTGAAATCAGGAAGTGTAATGCCTACAGCCTTGTTCTTGTGCAAAATTGCTTTGGTAATTTGGGGTCTTCTGTGATTATATAAAAATTTTGTAATTGTTTATTCTATTTCTGTAAGACAAGCCATTGGAATTTTGATAGGGACAGCATTAAATCTGTGTATTGCTTTAGGTAGAATGGACATTTTAACAATGTTAATTCTTCTAATCCATGAGTATAGAATATCATTGCACTCATTTGTATCTTCTTCCATTTCTTTCATCAATGTCTTACAGTTTTCAGAGTACAATCTATTACCTCCTTGGCTAAATTGATTCCTAGATATTTTATTCTTTTTGATGTAACTGTAAATAGAATTGTTCTCTTAATTTCTGTTTCTGATAGTTTGTTAGTGGTATATAGAAATGCAACTAATTTTTTGTATTTTGAGTTTGTATCCTGCAACTTTACTGAATTTGCTTATCAGTTAACAGGTTTTTGTTTGTTGTTTTTTTGGTGGAGTCTTTAGGCTTTTCTATATATAAGATCATATTATCTGCAAATAGAGACAGTTTTATTTCTTCCCTTCTGATGTGAATGCCTTTTTTTTTCTCTTGCCTTTTTGATCTGGCTAGGACTTTCAGTCCTATATTGAAAAGAATTAGTGAGAGTGGGCATTTGATTTTAGAGGAAAAGCTTTCGGTTTTCCCCCACTGAGAATGATCTCAGCTGTGGATTTGTCACATATGGCCTTTATTATGTTGAGATACAGTCCCCTCTACCCATTTTGAGAATTTTTTCATGAATGGATGTTGAATTTTGTAATAAGCCTTTAGAATTCATAGATGGATGACAGAGCTCAAGAATTTGATCAATCCACATGGATTTTCATGCATTATTGCTCCATACTTAAAAGCTTTTATACAAAATCTGCTGTGTGTACAACACTCATCTCCAAAAAACAATTCCTCCTCAAATCTCTGTAGTGGCATACATTGATTTTCACAGCCTCCCAAGGAGAAAGCAGGGGAATACTGCCTTACCAACAGCTACACAGAGTGTCTAGATATACATGTAAAGCACTGCACCAACCTCAGGCACAGGTGCTGACATATTAAAGGAACACACAAATATTGCTGAATGAATACATGAAGGGGAGGATGAATGCATGCCTGCATGCATGTGAGCATCTTTACCTTGTCACCTAAATATCCTTCAAGTAGAAAAAAAAAGGACCAAAATCTGGGTGAGTGGACTATTCCTTAGGTCAGCAAACTACAGGCATAGATCAAATTCGGCCCACTGCCTGTTTTTGTAAATGAAGACTTATTAGAACACTGACACACTCATTCATTTATGTACTGTCTGTGGTTGTTTTCATGCTACAATGGTAGAGTTGAATAACTGTGACAAAGAGTCCATAAAGCCAAAAATATTTCATACCTGGCTCTTTACAGAAAATTATTGCCTCCCCCTGCTTGTTCTTAAAAAATATGTTTTTAAGACATATCAAGTAAATTAAAAAAAAATTAGTGTCAGTATGAGAATTCGTATCAATTGGCTTCATTTTTAAAGAAGTGATGTAAACAAAGGTTTATGCTCTAAGGCAGTGGTTCTCAACCTTCCTAATTCCGCGACC